AAGCCCAGCAGGCGCTCTTCCAGCTGCAGCTCCAGGTCCTGGAGCTCCATTCGAACTGAATTTCTCAAACTCTGGAGCTGATCAACTTCATATCTACCGGTAAGGTGACAGGCACAAAGCATGAGAGAAGTATTTCAAGGATTCCTACTCATAACTCTATTGTCAATGAATAAAAGCTAACTGAAGGCACTGAAATTCCGAGTTCTACATATGAGCACAAGAGCAACTGCAGTAGGTATACCACCAAAACGAACATTCACTCTTCCTCTATCCTGACAAGGATCTCTAACACTAAACAACCGATTACAACGACCATCTTCCTCAATACATTTTACCAATGAAGAGTAGTTTTCTCATTGAATAACTATCCCAAATGTTATTTACATTGGTTAAAAACAAACAAAAAAGGAAATACAGCGTACTGTTCAAAAGAATAAGACCTAGCTAAAAAAAGCAGAGACAGTGTACAGAACAAAAGAATAAGACCTAGCTAAAAGAAACAGTTGACAAAAGTTCTTGGAATGTAAAGCATTCTGTGTTACGTTAAAACAAAATGATCTTTTACCTCTCCTCTTCAGTCATATGATGATAAACCATGGTTTGCTGACGTAGCATTGCCAACTCTAAATCCATCATTTGTGTTCTGAACAAATTCAGGCTCCGCCTCATTACTTGGAGCTCCTGGAAAGTATTCTAAATATATATAAAAAAAAAATTTTATACTTCTGTCATGCAAACTGTTTTGTGACTCAAAGTTTTAAGCAAGAACTTACTTCATAAAGAGGTAGAACAGATGATTTCTGGGTACTGTATGGAGCAGCAGCAAGATCAAGTCCTCTCAACATAGGGTACTTCAGAAAAGGGAAAAAGAGAATAAAAAATCAAAGTTAAAACATCTACCTCCAGATTCTCAAACAAGCGAAACAGACAGTGTTTTGGGCTTGTGTATTTTCCTTGCGGGGTGTGTGTGTGTGTATGAAAAATAAAGGTTGCTTCAAATTTTAAAGCAGGAACTAAATAAATCCATTCTGATGCTACCTACTGTAGCTACTTATTTCCAGGTTTAACTAAATTTAGGAGGAGAAAGGGGAAAAGAAAATAGTACAGCTCATAACTATGGCCTTTTTTATAGATTTGTAGTATGTGTGATACTCATTTACTAATGAAAGATCTTCACTTTCCCTATATTTTTATTAGTGTGCATACAATAATTCATATCCATTGTTTTATACATTCATTTTATTACTTTTTATCTATTCCTATTATGACAGCTTCTCTTCAAGTCCTCATGGAATTTTTTTATTCCTATCTGTGTCGTAAGATTTATATAGTCTTGAGAACACAGAAAAACAAAGAAATCAAACAAAAATTCAGAAATGCAGCAGTAACAGGAAATGTCTTCTTGGGATTACAGAAACTGTTGATTGTGGCAAACAGTCTTACATTCATTCTCAAATATTTGAGTTATCCAAGAGATACTTGTGCTGGAGACTGTGAAGACCAAAATGGTCACTCCTGGCCCAAGTGGGGCTTTCATAGTTTATGAAAGGAGATAATACGTTAATATAAAAAGAGGAGGAATGCTGAGGTAGAAACGAACAATCAAACAAAGGTCAAAATTAATGACTGAGAGGTATCCCCAACAGTAGTGACACCTGAGCTGAGTCTTAACAGTGAACAGGATTTGGTAAAGCAAAGAAAGGCAAGACTAGGGCATTCAAAGCAAAGAAAATAGCTAAAATAAAAACAACTTCCTCAATTGTCTAAATATAAACAAGAAAGGAAAAAAGATTTCTAGATTTCTGGAGAGAAAATGTAAAATACACAATGTGAAGACAACTTATTAGTTTTCAGTTTCCTGAGAGCTATTTCCAATCTACTCACTAATCTTGAGTGGTGATTTTAAAAATGACGACACATTCTGTTCATACCCACACTTTACCTGCTTGTCTTCTGGTCGGGAGTAGCTCCAGTCTAGGAATCAGTGGGGCTGCACTACTTCCCATGTCAGGGGGAGACAGCTTCAGGAGTCAGTAGGTGAAGGGAAAGCTTAGTCAGAGAAGTAGGAGCAGACCAAGGAGTGTGTGCTGCTGTAGACACCAAGGGGAAGAGGGCTTAGATGAGAGAGAAGTGATAAAAGCATCAAGTGGCAAAGAGAAGACAGAAAATACTTTGCACAGAGGCTTCTAAGTAAGAGCGGCTATTTTACCAAGTGACTTGGCTAAAAGGCAGGCAATGGAGGACAGGCTGAAAAAAGGGATAATATTTAATGAGCAGAATCTCTCCAATTAGGGAGATTATGAACAGAGAAATGAATATTAGTTACAGCTTTTCCCTTGAAGTAGGAGGGAAGCATAAAGGAAGATAAATTTAGGCACATAAGATAATGAAGTTAAGGTATTTCATGATTCATGAGGGAACTCTTGGGTCTTAGCTTTGCAATGAAGTGAGAAGTGGTGGGATCAATTATTTCTATATAGATAGACTTTTGCTCATACCTGTGAAAGATTCTGCAGTGAGTTTCTAATATCATGCAACACTCTTCGCAGCTGCATTTCGATGGCCGAAGGTGGGTTCACAGGGTATGGCCGGTAGGGGCAGGCAGCATGTCTATGTGAGTAAGGACACCCAAGAGGGGGAGAGAAAGCACTACAGGGGGTGCCAGATATGTTGGGGACACTATGAGTGCTCAGAGTCCTCATGTGCTCACACAGCGGCCTCTCTGGCCACTCGCAGGGGACAGAGTGAAGGGAGCAGGTGGACTGTGAGATAGGCGCTGGAGCCTGCAAGCAGGAGGGAGGCCGTCGATGGCGGCACTCTTCCAGCTGGTTCGCCTCACTCGGGGAGGCTGCTTCGTTCTTCACAGAAGATGGAGAGATGAAAATAGTGGATTTAATTAGAGACTGGCCATCAGGCCCAGTCACTTCTTGTTCCAATTCCTGCTCCTCTTCAGGTGTGTACTTGTAGGTGAAGGAAGGAGGGCTGCATCTGGTCTCTTTTCCTGGAGACAAGCGAACATTGACAGCAGACACCACCCTTACTGGGCTCAGTAAGGTGGTAGGTAAAGACTGAGACCTTCTCAGAGGATAGCCAGCTTTCGCAAATAAGTACCTCTGTTTTAGTAGATCTTTTGATTTTATCAGTGTACGCCCTACTCTCTGACTCTTCATCTGAGCTCTTTGCAAAGCTGTATTAACTCTGTCCACAGAAGAGGGAGTAGGCATCACAGTCTCCTCAGAGCCCTTTTCGTTGCATTTAGCCTCAATGGAAGCCAACGACTTAAGAATATGATGTGTGTTGTACTGGGTAAATTCACATTCACTAATTTTATCCCCTTCACTTTCAGCACTTTCTTCCCTTGGTAACTCAACTCTCTGGGCTGGAGAAGCATCCTCCTGCGTTTTGGTGACTTGGGGTACGCAGTCCTCTGGACGACAGGGGAACAGTTCATCCCCACCAGCCTCAACAGTCTCACTTTTAGGGAAACTTTGGCTCTCTGACTTTCTTTTATCAGCACTCGTTGCTACTTTCTCTCTTCCCTTCTTAAGAGGGACACGAGACTCCTCCTCAGACTCATTAAAATAAGGCTGGTCTTGACCTGTTGGTGTGACAAGGTCTTCCCCAAATGAAGTGACTGTGGTCTCACTGTCACAACTGTCAGCACTACTCCCCATGGCCTGCAAAGACTCCTGAACCTGTGAAAAGAAAACGTATAGATGAAGAATACAAGTCTCATCATGAACAAAACTACCAGCTAATATGATGATTCTCTATACGAATATGGTCAATGGTCACTATCTCTGCTGTGGGTCTGGTGTGACTCAAAGTGCTTCTACAAGCTATATATGGGCACAAAATGTTAGTTATTAAAAAAAAAAAAAGTTAGTTATTACATAAGTAAGAAAACAGTTATGCTGAAAAAATAAGAATACAAAATCAGGTCAAACAGGTTAATGATTAAAAAGTATTTACTGGTAATAAAAATGAAAAAGAAGTTTTTTCCACGCTCTGTCATAAAGACCTTCACTATTTTCCTTAATTCCCCTTTCCAACACAAAACTGGCCTTTGAAGAAATGGGAGTGACTCAGTGAGCATGGAAAAAAGCAAAAGCGACTTCTTAACACCCTTTTCTCAACATCCATAAACGTTCCGATACCTCTCTCCATTATACCCTTCCTTTCTCCACTCTAAAAGGGAAACAGTGGACTGGGGACGTCTTTTCAGAGCTACTTTCTCCAAATAGTACTTTGGCTTCTCAACAGTCCTCTTCAAGTTTAGGGTGCTTTTCTACAGCCAGCCCCAGACTTTTCTGGACTACAAGAGAAGGAGTAAGCTCTCCTTTGTAGAAGTAAGGAGACTCTTGTAGACTCAACTCTTAGCCATAAAAAAGCAAAAGAGATTACCCTGAAGCTTTTTCATTGAAAAAAATACTCTAAATACATTCCTTAGCTTCTTCTCTACCAATTTACTCTCTAAGCCACTTACAATCATGTCTTTTTTTCCATCCATTCCACTGAAAGTCATTCCTCCAAAGATTTCCTAATAAGCAAAATCTTACCTATTCACACTTAGGGCCATGACTTTCCTTTGAATGTTCCTCTTCTACCTGCCGACTTGTCAACTCCCATCTTCCAGAATTTCCTCAGACACATCTTTTGTCTGTATACTCTATCAGTCCTGTGATCTCAATGGCTCCTTTTGTAAGTTATTTTCTTCCCTTATTCCAAGTTTCTTTAAAAATCTTAAAATTGTTTTGTGTCACCTAGACTAAAAGTTCTTTGAAGATCAAGTTGTGCCTCTTTTCCAGGCTGTATCTAACACATTCTAGCATAAAAGTCTGAGGAATAGTAAGCTATGAACCCACATACAATGCTAGTTATTAAGTAAGTGAAATGCTGAAACACAATGAATGATGACTAAAAGAAAAATCCAGACTGACTAAGTCAATGATTACAATAATCTGTTTACTGTTGAGATAAAACAAGGGAGAAGAGGAAAAGCTTGTTTCCCTATTTTATAAATATTCAATAACAAAAAGATAAAAATTACAAACCAAAAATTTAAAATGCTTAGATAATAAGCAAAATTTTGATTATTTTTCTACACCCTAACATAGTTTTATTCTGTCATCTGATAAAAGATTAGACAGATCAGTCTTCAAATTTTTAACCATAGGAGAAAAAAAAAATTGCATTATAATGAAGATAATAATAAGCCTATTATAAAGAGAAATTTACCTGAAGATGATTAAGGGAGTGAAAGTCTGTTGAATCTTCAGCAAAACCACTACTATCAGAATGCTGACTTGCAGTACGTAATAGATGATCTACCAAAAAAAAAAAAAAAAAAGAAGGGAGTTATACAAACTACTAACCTTCAATGATGGCTATATTATTAGAGACACAATCAAGAAAAGATAGATCATATACAATAAAGACTTCTCCTTCTTAGAATAGTACACAAAGCTCTGATAACAAAGTAGAACAGGTCATTCTAATACAAACAAAAACTAAAATTAAACCTTTGATTAGACATTTTGAGCATTTAGTTACTGAGCTATAATTTTTATTGCATTTTGGCAAACATAATTAGTGTGACTTATTCTTGGAGAACAACTGCCTGAAAAAAAAATTTAAAAAATAGCTCTCACAAAAGTATAATTTCCAAAGTGACTTTCATTAAAAAAAATCTAAGACTAAATATTTAAATATTTAAGTATCAAAGATATCTAGACTATGTAAGTAATATTAACAAGCCCTGAGGGTATCGTGGGTTACATATTAGGTTCCTAAACAAAATGGCTTGCCTCTGGAAACTCTATGTACGAACAGCGCTCAGGCTGTTCATTCATAGGGTCGCTATGAGTTGTCTACGACTCGACGGCATTAAACAACAATAACAATGACGACAACCAAGAGAGAGCTATGCTGGCCTAGTGGAAGGAAGCTGTGCTACCAAGCCGAAGGTGGATGATTGTCATCTGTGGCCCTCGGCCAGGTTCAAATTGTCTTCCTGTCAAACATTCTTTTAGCTGGTCTGTGCGTTGCTGTACAGAGGTAACTCGTGGTTGCTGTGATGCTGAAGCCTGTGACAGTGATGTGCCAATCATGGTAATGGGCACCCATGGTGGACAGTGTTGGCTGGAGCTTCCCGACTAAATCAAGCCTGGAAGCAGGAGCGGCATCCACTTCCCAAATGGCTTGCCTCTGGAAACTCTGTGTACGAACAGTGCTCAGGCTGTTTGTTCATAGGGTCACTATGAGTCGTCTACGACTCAACAGCATTAAACAACGACAACAAAAAACAAAAGATCAGGAATTTGAATTCCCCAGCTGCTAACTGTTGATATTAGAAAGGTTAAACATGTTATAGTGTGCAAAAGTTCTTATGTTCTGAAATTAAAAATAAGAATAAGATAGTAAATGAAGTCATTTTTATGCAAGCATATAAATGAAGACCAATAAATTATTTCTCTGTAAATCCAAGTCTTTCATTTTTCAAATAATTCAAATATAATTGTTTGTTAGGGAGCACTGGGGGCCTAGTGGGTAAGGAGCAGCTCTGTCAAAGACAGGTAGTTCGAATCCACCAGCTGCTTCACAGGGTAAAAATAGATAATTTCCTGCCATGTAATTTATAGCCTCTGAAAACATACTGAAGGGTCAGCTATAACTAGGTTGATTCAACAACAATGTGTGAGTGAGATTTGTAAGATATGAAATAATTCTTTCCTAACAACTACCTTATGTAAAAAATCTAACACTCAAACTCATTGTGTTGGTTCCAACTCCCTCTAGCAAGTTTCCAGAGATTTAAAGTAAATGGTAAGAAAATGTATCTCTTTCTCCCAAGGAGCCCTCATTGGTGGGTTTAAACCACCAGAAAAACTCAGCCTTTGGGTTTGCAGCACAACTCTCCACAGGCTATCAGTAGAGAGTCAAAAAAATTTAACATAATTCTAATTGTAGAAACATAAAATCTGTCTCTTTAGCATGTCTCAAAAGCTCTAATTGCAGATTATTACAAAAATAAACAAAACCCTAACTCTTTGCCATTAAGTCACAACACACTCATAGCTGACCCTCCAGCCAAGTTTTCAGAGGCTACAAATTCTATATGGGAGAAGATGGTATTTTTCTCTTGAAGAGAGCAACTGGTGAATTCACAAGAATCAAAGAATCTTTGGATCAGCAGCTCAACTCCCTATGGACTATACACCAGAACTCTCTCTGGTCGTCAAAACATTAAAAACAAAATAAATAAATAAAGCCACCTTAGCGTAGCAGGTATGATCACATTCCCTCCTCAATATTACCACTAGGGGACTGACCTGTAGATAGTCTATTTACTAAGGGAATAACATCAGACGACAACAAAGTTTCTCAGAACTTCAAAAACAGCAGGTTAAATAAAACGGTGTTTACCAAATCTGCACTAAATTAATTTGAATTATACAGAGAAGCAGATAGCATGTTTGAATAAAATCCAAAATCAATTAATGCTCTCCTGATTTTGAAAAACAATCCTACTAGAGCTTCAAGTTCAACTAGAAGCAATATGAATGGAGGGGATATTTTTCTCATTAAAAACAGTAACTGTATTATTTTGAAATTAACAATAAAACCCCATGTATTTGAAAATGTAAGTAACCCACTTGCTTGCTATATCCTAGGTAAAATAATAGTTATAAAATTGTGTTGTAGAGTCTTACCGTTAGTGTACAAAGTATTTTTACCAAACTTGTGAAATGAGTAAGAGTGATTCTCATTCTGTGATTATGATTAAACTAAGAATCTTATATATCACATTATCACAATTGGTTATCTTTCCCTAATTGCTAAAACACTCTATTTGTTCCCCTCTCCCATGACTACATACAGTCATCTTATTTTTAATTTATGACAATCTGAAAATGGTAACATTTTTGCTTTGCTACCACAAATAAGAGATTCAGTGTTAAAAGGAGGAAGAAACCCAGATGTAATATAAAGCAAACTCCCTCTTTCTACACTCATTGAGCTTTGTCTTGAAAAGACCCTCAATTTTACTGTCGTTTATATGTCTTTTGACACACAGTAAGTTGCTTTTTCCAAAACATTCCCTGTCTATCCACTTAAGGCATAGGCTCTTTGGTAGTCATAGACTTTTTGCTTTATAACTTACAGCTCTGAACACAGAAGAAACTTCATTCCAGAAATGTTGATGAAGTCCAGAAATAGATATGCATGTGGTTTTATGCACTTCAAGGGGAAAGAAAATGAAATAGAAAAGCTCATTTTGTGTCTGGACAGAATTGTAGTGACCTAGAGAGAAGAGCAGCTTTTTGTTTCTCTGTATCATATTGCAATAAGAGAAAAATGGTATGCAAATCACCTTTTATGAAGTAATTTCAGTGATCAGAAGAGAACAAACATATAATTTCCTATTCCAGGAACATACATATGAAACTTTGTTTAAAAAAAAAAATAGGGTGGTTCTGCATGTGTAGCTTTAAAAATAAACAGTCCCACCTTCGGTGGTCATTTTAACTTCTTTACTTCCTCTCTTCCTTCCTTTAAATCTCTAAAGCTTTGTGAATTTAAAGATTGGACAATTTTTTTCCTGCTGCAACTTTAAAGTCAAAGGAATGGATTCAAAAGTTCTTTGGTCAATAATTAATTAATGAGAAGAACAGTTGGGTCTCTCCACTTCCTCACCTTTGATCTCCATGGTTTGAATTTAATTTCACTAGGTTTAGCTATTGCTGAGAGATTGGTGTTTTTCCAGAGGCATATTTATGGTTTATACCTAGGAGCTGTATTTAAATAATGCAAGATCATCCAAGAATATTTTCAATCGTAACAGTGTAAAAGATGGCCTGAGCCTGCCACTCCTTCTCCTTCTTCCTATATTAGCCTTTATGCTGAGCTGAAGATATTAAGGGTACACAGATTTATGTGAAGAGGTTAGTACATAATAACCAAATTACTTTTGATTATGAACAAGAATGTAAATAAAAATACGAAAAATTCTATAGCAAAATACTAATGAAAGGTATAGGATTGTATTCTTGCTCTTCCTACATGTAATGGTGCTTTAGATGCTGATAAGATCCCTTTCGCAAATCAACTGGTAACACAATTGATACTACTGGATATTTTAATACATACCTCTTTTGGATTTGATCAGACCTAGCTGGTATGCAGCTGGAACATGAGGAGCCTCCCCCTCTGTACTTTGAATCTAAGGAAGAAATTCAAAATAAAACTAAGCTATTTTTAAAGAAATTAATAAAATAGCAATTTATTTAAAAAATAGCTAAAACTGGCACCAAAACATTTTACATTTAAATTTACTTTGTATTCATTAACCAAGAGGATTAGGTTCCAAAGACTAAACAGTTACTCAAAATTAGAGTTATGTGAGAAATCAAGACAACCATATTAAATCACAACCTAGAGATAACCGTATCATTACATAACTGCCAAACCAATCATGGCCCAGCAAGCAGACACATTTAACCATTGCAGCCTTTGCTACTACCAGACATCTGTTAGTAAGTGCAAAAAAATAGATGGATTATTCAGTGCTGTCATGAGAAATATAAGATAACAAGATAGTTGACAAGTGAAAAGAATGTGTAAGGCAAGACAACATATCTCAAAATCAGGTTGTTATGAGTTGCAGTGGACTCAACGGCACATAACAACCACCAAATAGTTAAGAACAACACTACAGGTAAGAAACTAGCAGAGAGAAAATTACTGAATGTCTGCCCTACTTCATTGTTTTTAAAAAAGTTGTTATTAGATGGAAAAATAAGCAAAAGTTCTTTAAATTGTGATGTGTAGGGCTAATCCTACAGGAACAAAAAGGATGGCAGGAGATCAGGACTGGCACATGGTGAAGATACCTTCAACAATGGAAAATCATACTCCCATTATACAATTTTCTAAAATTTTTTAAATTTTCACCTATCAGTATCCACTAATGTGTAAGAGTTTGGTTCTGATATAAACTGAAAGATACAAATAGAAAAAAAGGATTCATTTCAGAACTCAAGTGTCTTACATACATTTTTTTCCTGAAAACTGTGTTTAAAAAATATGTCAAATCCACAAAAGCTGTCCATTTGTGCTATTCTTCCCCCCCCCCCACTGCCCCCCAAAATACCAATTTGGAAATTTACAGATTCTTTTATACCTTCACTCTCCAAATACTCTCTCTGGTCTAACAAAGTTAACTCAACAGTCAACTTTTTAACTTCTAATGACTGGTATTTAAAACAGTAAATAAAAGCCAAGTATTATAAACATTGGTGGTATATTAGATAAACTATTGAGCTGCTAAGCAAAAAGTCTAAAGTTCAAATCCACCAGAGGCTCCAGGGAAACAGACGAGACAGTCTTCTCTCACCAGCAGTGAGGTTTTGGTTTTTAGAGGCAAGGATTCTGAAGCTTCATCTGACATACTTTGGACATACCAGTCCTTGGAGAGGGATGTCATGCTTGGGAGTACAAGAGAGAAAGCCCCTAGAAGAGACGGATTGACTCAGTGACTGGGGTAATGGGAGTAGGTGTAGGTCAGAGACAATGAGCTTGGCTCAGGATAGAGCAGGTATAGGGCTGTTGTACTATGAAAGCACCTGGAGTCTAACTGAAAGGATGGTGTCATTCAGCTAGGGTAAAGACTTTTTTGTTGTCAGGTACCATAAAGGAATCAGCGAGTGATAACAGCTCTATCTACTACAACAGAGTAAAATACTGATGGATGGGCAGTTCTACTCAGTGGTCATGATTTGGGTGGTTTCGGTTTTAATGTAGGCTACTCAAACTTGAATTATCTGTGTAAATAAATGTTAGGCAGAATTTTGGTTGTTGTACTAGCGTAAGAAATACCTTTTTAAGAATGTTGATGAAAGTTGACATGAAAAATGGGTCAAAGGTCAAAAATTCTTATTACTCAATTTCAAATCGACTCTGGTTTGTGCTGTGTTCCACATAATTTGAAGAACATAAGTTCGTATCTTTGAATATCAGAAGTACACCAAAACAAAACAAAACAAAAAAGTTATATTAAAACAATTACCACTAAATCAGATACATAGATGATATTATTCTGGCTATTTAAAATCATATTCTTCAAAGCAGCAGACACAAGTTCAACAGGAAAACCATTGTTTTGTGTAGAAGAGAACAAAATGCGTTTTCTTTTTATATTCAACAAAAGATCTATTATTAGTCATTACTCAGGCCTAGCCTATTACAGAAAGTTTTCTGTAAAGGAAATATCAAGGAGACCCATAAAGTGGAGCAAAACCCCAAATGTCTCCTTAATTATATTCAAGCAGTTTCAACTTTTAGGCACAGTATTATGATACAGCCAAATTATAATCTCTTTTTTAAAATCTCTCCTTTTTAAGTATAGACCTATCACATTTTCTTTATATGTGTGATTGTTATGTACCAACAAGTCATCGAATGGACCAATGGCCAACTCCAGTGAGTTTTAGAGGCAATAAATCATACGAGAGGAGACTGCCCAGCATGACTTTAGTGAACAGAAGTCTCCTTCAAGATACTACTCTATATGGGGAAAAACATCTACTCTTTCTTTTTACTGTAACCATTAATGGAAGGGGTGGGGGAAGATGGAAAAAGTCATTAATTTACAGATAAAATTATTCAAACAAGTATCACTTTTATTCTCTTTTATTAGGGATAATGTTACCATTTGGGAAGAAACAGATATGTTAGTGACAACAGTGGAATTTCTCTGCTTACTTGTTTTCTGACTGATGACAATTGTGCACAAAAGGCAGTCAAATCCGAGATGAGAAGCATCAGCAAACTATGAATCTTATATAGAACTTAGGTCTACATGATAGATTTTCTCTTCATTAGTTTCAAATTCTCAGATGAATTAGACATTTGTTATAAGCTGACTTTCATTAAATAGCAAGAATGGCAAGATATTGGTATCTGAAATAAGTGACTGATAATGGAGTTCAATATATTATGCCAGAAAAACATAATTTTTAAAAAATAACATGAAAAAGAAAATAACCACTGAAACAAAATTAATCATTTGGTTCCAGTGTTTTGGCATTGATGATGTATGAAAATAGCTTTAAAATAATTCAGACATTTAGGTTTCTAGATTTTAAATATACTTTTAAAGTGTTAACACAGCATGTACCTATTTTATTAACATTTGTATTATTTCTCATGACTAAGATGAATCTTTTAGGCACTTTACTATATTGAGTTTGATACAAAAGCTAGTATATATGGATGTTCTATCTCAGATGGCCCATATTGAGTTTGATACAAAAGCCAATATAAGGATGTTCTATCTCAGTTGGCCCTCAATCAAAAAGACACTGTATGCTTCTTTTTAAAATCACACGACGGCTTTAGAAACTGCAGTTCTAACATTATATCAAAACAATTCAAAGGGAAACACTAATTTCCTAAAGAAGTAGTATAAGACTACATGTCAGGTAATGTGAGTTCTTATCCACTGTTTAATTCTTAACAACCAAATGGACCTTCAGCAAATCAGATAGATGACTTAGTCAAAAGTAGTAAAGTTTTAGAAACACCTGAATTCATGTTCGAGCCATTCCACTTACTTTGTAAACACCTTCAAATAATTATTATCTGTGCAAACCATGTGTTTTCTCAAATGTAAAATAAAGATTAAAATGCCCATCTCACAGGTCCTTAATGATCCAAAGAGATTGTAAAGTAAAAATGCTCAGTAAACAGTAAATTAGTTTGAGGGGAGGCCACGCCCACCAGCCTGCTGCACTCCCTAGGTGTGCTGACTGACTGCATCCTCTCCCAGTGAGACCAGTATCAGAAGGAATATCACATCCCTCAGAAGACAGGACACAGGTACTGCTGTTTATTAACATCAAATGTTAAAAACAAAGAAGCACTTCCTCATTTGTAAAAATAAGGAAGCCTTAATTTAATTAAGGGGTATTCTGGTGGCTTAGTGGTAAGGAGTTGCGCTGCTAACCCAAAGACTTGAGGTTTGAATTCACCCGCTGTTCCACAGAAGACAGACAGGAAATCAATCTCCTGTGTAATTCACAGGGTTAGCCCTGAGTTAGTTCTGACTCAAGAGCACCTCACAACAATGTCATCCAAGATCCCTTTCTGTATTAGTTATTCCTCATTCTAAAATTTCTTGTTAAGCTTTTATGGGGGCTGGGGAGAACTCCTTAAATTTTACACATTCACATATACAGCTTATTTTTACTGTCAGTTAATTTCTAGGTTAATTTAGGTCAGCTAACTTAGGTCTCTCGGGTAAAAATTAAGTAACAAACTTCATTGTTACTGCACTTTGAGGTAACAGGTATTCTTATATGTGTCATGCATGACTGTGGACAATCTGTTCCTTCAGAAAGCATATAGTTAAATCTGTAAGGCCAAAGGGAAAAATGTAAACAATTGTCAAGTATCGCCTGATTTGAGAATATTTTCACTTAAGCCAGTACATGTAACAGAATAGAATACTGAGACTCAAAAGCTGAAATGAAGTAATGAGATATTGTACACAAAGCAGCATTCAGTGTGAAGACAAGACTAGGCACTTACTCAAACTTCAGAAATTTGAAAAATATTGTATGTATTAAACAATGGCTATACTGGGACATAAAGTTATAAAATGAGAAGACAAAGAATAAATTTTGCAGATAAATGAAAACGGAAGTTCTCCTTCCTCTTACAGTTAAGTATGAAGAAATTCACCTTCACGCCTAAAAGAACTGCTTGTGGACTAAGTTGCTTTAGTTTAATGAATCATTCATATTATTAATCCATGGCTCCAGCGCTACCATGACACCTTCAAAATAAGGCATTCAAGAAAACCAAGAATTATCCAGGCAAATTATTAAGAATCCATGCACAGACATTTACAGATTTCAGACTTCTTAAAATTAAATGACCTTAAAAGTCTACAAAATAATTTTTAATAAAGCAAACTAATTTTTAATTGAGAAATAGTGTTGGGAGTATGTTTAGTCAATCCAAGAAATTCCACTTTCATTTTCACAGGCCTAGATCAGTCTCATCGACTACATTACTCTCTTTACATCTATGTACTTCCTCCCTCTCCTTACTCCTGGTAACCAGTCTATTTTCCCTCCTAACTATTCTTACCTGTTCCCTCATAAGGACAGGACAGCGTCATGCACAAAGCCACAACTGCAACATTTTCTTCTACCCCAAAGGATTTGAAGGTCTGTTAAGACTTGGCTTACTGAGGGACACAGTGAGCTCTCACTTATATGTACTCGTTGTTTTTACAGGAAGAAAATTCCCAATAGGAATAAAACCTCAACGGAAAGGGACTTTTAAAAAAATAATAAAATAACAACCCACTTTGAATAGGATCTGAAAGTTTGCTTTTAATAAGATTGTTCTCTTCATTTGTCAATATGATTCAAATCAAGCTTGAGAGAAGAGGAAATGAAAATAACATAATATTTCCCTTCTTTATTCATTGTTATAAACTCTCTTTAAAGTTCCCTAAGGGATAGAAACCATTCTAAATTTTATTTCTGCATATTTTAAGTGTATCTGAAGAACCAGGATTTAGTAATCTCAAAACTGTCCATATTTACAATGTTGCTGTTGTTACCTCTGAGTCAGAAATGACCCATAGATATCCCTCTAGCAGGTTTTTAAAGGCAGTATTTCACAAGGGAGAAGACTGCCCATCTTTTTTCCCATAGTGTAGCTGGTGGATTCGAACAGCATGCCTTTGGGTTGGAAGCATCGCTCCTTACCACTAGGCCACCAAAGCACCCTACTGTAGCTATAATGACTATATATTCTTTACAGAAAAAAACCCACAAATCCAATATTCTTCAATTACCAAAGCACATTCATAATTTTCCACCTTAAAATATTCTCATTCTAATTTCACATTACTTTTTTAACTACTCTTGCCAGCCACGGGAGAGGAAAAAAAAACAAACCCCAAACTAGAGAGTTTGATATTCTACCATTATTAAATGTTAATTTTTTTATCCAAGTGCATCTAACATTATTAAAAATTTCAAAGAACTTTTATGGTTTAATAGCTTAATAATCTGAAAGTGAAATTTTAAAAAGTCATGGAGTAGGAATTGACCCACAGCTCACCCTCCAGAGGGCTTGCAGAGGCAGCTAATCACATTGGAGGAGACTGACCATCCTTCTCTCATGGAGAGATGTTGGTGTATTTGAACTGTGTACCTTCAGAATTGCAGTGCCATTTCTTACCACTAGGCCACCAGACCTCCCTAAGGAACTTCTTTGCCTTATTTGGAAATATACATGTTAAGAATGCCTTCAATCAGTCAAGAATATTAAATTTGCAACTACTGAGCAAAATTTGTTTAGACATTTAATTTGCTACTGAAGTAAAACAAGGAAACTGATTTCCACAGAAGACACTGTAATAAAAGGTAGGAATCTTTTTTTTTTAAATTATGAGTGCTAGGGCAATTTTAGACCAAAACAAAATTTAAAAGGAATGAAACAATGAAAGGGAGCAAAAAAAGAGTTTTAATGATGATTTCTGTTAAAAATGAGAAATATTTGGAATTAAAACAAAGTTTACAAGAAACAATAAAAATATTCCAAAGAACTACTTTTGTTCCCTTAGTTATAGTTAAGAGATATATTTACAGATCAGAAAAAAAGGAAAATATCAACAAACAAAAAAATCTTCACTACTTTGACAGAAATTTACCTAGAGAGGGCATTTATGAGATGAATTAATAATCTCATTTTCAAATTCTCTAAAATTATGCTATGTGATTGTAATACTATTGGAAGTATTACTAAAAGGAATCTTTGTTTTAAGTAAGAGTCATACTCTTTACCAGGACAAATATACCTCACTTTCCCCACTTGTCACATAAGACCACTATCCTCATAGAATAAAGAAATTATTTCATGAGCTTACTACAGTGTATGCCAAAAGGTAAAGCACGGTAAACTTGAGTTTCCTGTCCCAATCTATGGAATCAGTTCCTGCTACTCAAGAGTTGTTTGATCTGAATCTCACCAGAATGAGTATCTTTCTCTCATGTTGCTCGAACTTAAACATAAATTATCAGGAGCAGCACTGAGTTAAGTGGAACAAAAAATGGTTATCTGCAAATAAAATCTATTTTGCTTTTCAATGCTTCAACTTTCCCTTCCTTTCCTACAGAAACACAGAATCTTCACACTGTTTCCAGGCCTTTATCAAATCCTAGCCTCAAAGCTTTCTTCACATTTATCCTTACTACTGAGCTATGCTAAGAAAACCTTGCCCCAAAGTTCATGGCAATTCAATGGCAAATACAGAGCTCAACCCACTATTTGATTTCAAAACCTCTGCTTTTAACTGTTATGCAATATTGGTTTGAATGTTAATACAGGCACACATGGTTTTTTTGAGTATCAAAATCTTAACCTGAGAGAGGAAAAGGAGGTTAAAAGTCAAATTCAGCTAATGGAGTATCTCTAGAAAAAGTGACGAATTATCCCACTACCTTGACATGATAGTCCTAAACCTTGGTTGTGAAATGCAAAATGAAGAACTTGAAAATCAAAACTAGAAGGTTAACTTTTTCTAGTATAAATCTTGTAGTCATTTATCACTTTACAAACACTTTTTGCCACTTTGTAAAAATGTATTTCATTTGTTAGGGGATAAACTCTAATTCGCTATGAAAGTCTCATTAGTTTTTACTTACCTCTTCCATTTCGAAGGAGTCCTTCTGCTGTACCATTATATTTCTTATGGATGGGTTCGTCAGTGGCGCACATGGCTCTGGTTCAGATAGGGACGTATCTTTCAGCTCACTGTTATGCTCTAGTTCACTGTGGCTGGGCATGTTAAAGTCACTATTTAAATCAGACTCTAGGACACCAGGTTCCTCATCATCCTGTCTATTCTCTTGACCTTGAGGTGCTTTATTTTGTACACCTTCAGTTTCTTCATTCAAGGTACTATTTGCTTCATCAGAAAGTTTATCACTGCCAGCACTCTCAGTAATAGTTGCTGAGATACCTGATGTTTCTTCTTTAACTGTAGCCAACAAGAAAGCTGAGTCTTTCTTCTTTATCATTTTTTGAGATTTTTGATCATTTTTATTAACACTTTCTTCCATCGCTATGACATTTACAGCCTTCCCTTTTTCCATTGTTGGGGAAGGACTATTCCCTTCTCCTTTCTCTGTTTTATCAACACATAAATTTAGTTTTGATAGTGTTTTCATTAAACGATTTGCAGTGTTACTTCGAGTTAAAGGTGGAGGAGGGGAGTCTGTCTCCTTGGTTGAGGTCACAGAAGACACACTTCCAATTCTCTGCAGAGGAGTCCCAGAGACTTGGGAATATAATGAAGAAAATGCATTGGCCACAGTAGTAAGCACTTCAATTTGACGAAAACGACCTACAAAAGAAAAAATTGAATATAATTCAGTAATTAAATTTAAATTACAAAAAAATGATCCGTTCTTACCTAACTCAGAATCTCCAAATTAAAAAAGTGGGAAGACACAGAAGTTTGCTATAAATTTAGATTGCTTATTTTTCTTCCAAAATCAGAAATAAGCAGAAAGCATAAAAAACAAGAAAGGACTATTGATCTACAGCTGTAACTATTTTTTAGTTCTCAGATTCCACTAAAGCTCTTTAAAAGTTTTCATAAGATACTACAAAAAATCTTGTCTTTTATAACAACTTGGGAGGAACTCATAGGCCTCTGAAAGATATTCCATTCATCCTCCAAGGCCCCCATTTTTTGGAAACACTGGTCAACAAGAGGGGGGCAAAAACATACTTTATATATAAGTACATGCAATTGGCTGACTTCCTTTAATGTTTATAAGGTCCCTTTCTCTCTTGAGGAAAATAAGTAAACATATGTATTAGGTTCTGCAAAAATGTTATAGTAACATTTAAAGGAGTAAATAACTGTGAAGGGTGGCTGAAAAAGGAGGTAATTAATCAGTTAACAAAACAAAGATACAGCTGGAAGTACAACAATGTGGGTTAGAAAAGAAAAAACCAAAGTTTTTTGGATTTTTTTTGTCATTTAGCTTGATTCTATTTTATTGAAATGGTTATCCAGATTTTATGTGATTATTTTAAAACTCATTAGTTAGTTATCTCTCCAATGCCACTTTTAGAAACCTGTTAGGCTATAAACAATCTTGTCATAGACACAAGAATATAAAAAGTAATCTATTACCACTTAAAAACCTTACTTGTTAAAGCATAATTTGGGTTTTCTACTTCCATCCGTTGCATTTGAGCACTCAAAAATACTTTTATATCTATCCCTCTGGCAAATGATGATGAATTAAAAAATCTTGATGGAATTTTAGAAGCAATATCTGGTTCATCTCGTCCAAATCCAAGATTATAAAGAATTTCTTCAGGATCTTCCTCATAAAGTTCCAACAATTCAGAAACACTACAAAATAAATAAATAAATAAATAAAAAACCAAATCAAAATGTAAAAATGTATAATACACATTACATTATAAATGAATATACTGTTTTGCTTTCCTTTGGTAAAATCTTTCTCTACAACTCAGCTCTTTAACAATTATTTTGTCATCATTATACATTGTGTACTAAACAGTCCATTCTCGTAAACTATTTTGATGGTAGAAAGCTAATCTGGAAGAATATACTGAGTCTAGACACATCCTCACCTTATGTTTTTGGTCATTTTAAGAGACTGCTCTTAAGCAGCTAAAATAATTAGAGGATAAAGGAAGATGAACAAAGAATAAACAGATGCCCAATTAGGTTAAATGCGCAAATACTCTATGAATTAGACAGAACTTGAGCTTCTCTGCAATCTTTGGCTATCCTAGAAGAGACAATACCTGATCTCAGGTAACCATCTGCTCTCAAGAAAGTGAGGGAGGAGCTTACTTTCCTTTTTCTTCTAGCCACTTCCACTCAGGAAGTAGGAGGAGTAAGGTAAAAAGAGAAGGCGAAACAGAAAAGTAACTTCCCGCCTCAGTTACATTAAGAATGAAACTATTAGTTCAACCTTCTTGTATCAGTAGTAGTCCAAGCTTTCTGAGAGTCACTGAGGAAAACTGGAAAGTCAGACATGGAATTTGAACAGGAAGCTTATTTCAACTGACATCAGGGAAAATACTCATATTTCAATATAGTAATTTGTTTACTATTTAAGACTGATTAACAGGCACATTTATTACCTCACTTAAAGATTTCCAAAATCTTTGGTTAACATTGAAAATAAAAAAGGTTTATCTGAATTTTTATCAGAGTTGATTCAAGTTCTAGCAGATAGAGAGAAAGGGAGTTTGGGTCCTCTAGAAGAAGTTATTCCACTATACAAGTTCCTCTTTTAGATGGTTGCCAAGGCTCACAACATTCACACTGGGTTCTAGCAGCACCTTATACCATCCATACTTGTTGCTTTTTACTTAATCTCAACTTTTTATATAAGCCCCTCCCATCAGTTATACCCACACAGGAAACATTTCTAGATTCCTTCTGACTTCAAATTGGTAAAAGGGGGTAATGGATAACACAGTATCTATCGTCCATCATTATTTTCTCCTAAGTTACCTTGAGACTGTCCCACTGCTTTTCCCAGATCCAGTGGAATTCATACTTCTCCCTTTCTGATGAAACTGTAGTCTTCTCTCTTTGGCCAAGCTATTATTGCTAGAAACACAATCAAATTATGTAAAACTTTGTTTTCACAAACGCTCTTCACTTCTAAAATGAAAATAAGCAAGCACAGCTACTTACCAGTTTTCAATTTGAGCATCACTTTCATGGAGGTGGTTGGCTACAGACAAAAAGAATAAAAATAAGGACAATTGTTAGTAGTACTGTAACTACATGAGGCCATTCCCTTAATGCTGATTATGAATGAGATTTGTTCCTGTATCTTTAAGTATATGGTTCTTTTTTAGTTTTATTTAGCAGAGGGGAGATACAGGGGAGAAGCCAGAGCCTCCTCAACAATTTAAAAGGTACATCTGAAGCAAGTGAAACGATTTTGAGGAGTTTGTTGTCCGTAAGGGTGGATTTCATAATTTCCAAGTGAGGATACATTTATGTAACGCTAAAAGACAAGTGTTAAGTTTAACATTAAACTTAAGCAAGTTGTCTTAAATCTAATGTCTGTAACCTGGCGATGATCTGTTCTATGATAGAGTCATCAAGAAAACAAGCTACAATACCACAGCAAAATGTCTAATATGCCCAATTCTTATTTATTTCATTAAATCTGCATCCTTAAGAGAACGACAGAGGTAATGTAACATGTGGGGCCTTTCTGTTCTATAGCAACCTAGAAATACTTCCACTTGAGTGCTTAAGATATAAAGACCTGACGATAATTCCATTTCTGAGTTTAATGGTTTCAAAAGTAATAAGAAGATAAGGAGGACATATGTGGCATGTTGCTGTTAGGTGCCATCAAACTGAGTATGACTCAGTTGCTACAACTACGTGGTATATGTGATACTAATTACTAGACTTAAAACTTCTGAGGAAGAGTATTTTGAGAACAAGCCATGAGTTGGCATTACAGTGGCAGTAATATACATTAATTTAGAACTTTTTCACAATTTAAAAGTTACTCCAATTCTTTTTCCTTCACCTAATTTTAAAAAATCCTACTGATCATAGCACGCTTCATTTTAAGATAAATTAACTTCTAATATTAATGTTACTTTAGAATAAGTCATAGTCATTGCATTTATAGACAAATATAAAAATAAAATTCTATGCATATCCATTTCACCACATTTGATTATATATAATTTGTCTTTACAGATCAGAACTAAAATACACACACATATATACATCATCAAGTCAGAATCGACCCCTAACTGACCCTCCAGCAGGTTTTCAGGGGCAGTAAGTCACACAGGAGACTGTGCATCTTCCTCCTGCAGATTTGAACTGTGCACCTCAGTGTTGCTTACCACAAGAGCCACCAGAACGTGCACGTGTGTGCGCGCACTCTCTCTCTCTACCTATCTATCTATACACATACAGTCATGGCTATTTCTTAAATTTCTCTGTATAGCCAACACCTAGAAAGATGCCTAACTTAGCAATCAATACTTAACAAATGAAAATAGCCTTGAAATAATTTTCATTAAGCATAATAACACCAGGCTTTCATATGATTCCCTTTAGGTCTGGCTGCCAATTAAATCATTCAGTACTAATAAATTACCAAAGGAGGTATCAAAAGAATTATTTACAGCAATACTGACATGCATTTCACTAAGGGACTGGGCACATTCTCAAATGTACTGACTGGAAAACTGTAAACTCTGCCTTTATAGACTTTAGCCCTTCAAAGTCTATTAACAGAAATAACAAAAACCAATACAATCTGATAACCTAGAGTTTTCAATGGTACACTGAAATAAATCCAACCATGAAATGAATTCAGTCCTGTCTCAAAGCCCTGGTAGTGGAGTGGTTAAGTGATCAGCTGGTAATTAGAAGGTCAATCGCTGGACTCCACCAACCACTATCCTCAGAAGGCAGATGTAGAAGTCACATGCCATAAAGATCCCAGCCCAAGAAATCTTATGGGGCAATTCTGTCCTACAAGCTTTCAAGGGTAGAGAGTTATAAATAAATAATCTACTTTGCATAGATTAATGCTGATTCAAAAATAGCAAAACAGCAAAAGGGTTAAATTCACTTGTTATCAGGCAGCTATTTAAAAATATTTAATACAATCCTTAACTATCTTTTTTAGAACACACATCAGTAACTCTGCTGCCAATAATGTACTTAACCAAATGAAGTAAAACACATTCAGAAAGCTACAATACAACTTTCAATATACCAGTAAAACAGGCAATATAAAAACAAAAATCTTAATTTATATTGCTGGAATGCTTTATTATAAATCCCAAGGAGAAGATTGTATAATCTGTGAAAATTTAAACATAGAATACACTTTTAATAAGCTAATGGAATGTGGGATAGACACTAGCATTAAGATGCCTGATTCTATTAACTAAGCTATTTTATCTTTGTCTTTTAATCTTCTAAAATCTGGGAGAAAAAAAGAGTAAAAACACAGGAGGCACTCAAATGCAAAGAGAAAGAAAGACAAGATGTAGCTGTATGACATAAAGCTACTTCACACTAAAAAGTTTCAATTTGGTTTTCTCATGTATAAATATTTAAGCTTCCTTCCTTCTATAGAACAATTCTTCCCCCAAATAGTTTAAGTATTTAAATCCAAGGAAGACATAGGTACATTTTACATTGGTTTTTACAGTTAACAATACATGCAGTCAACAGGCTAGATCATCAGCATAAAAACAGAGGGTATTATGAAATATGTCTGAGCCATTTTTAAGATATTTTATCTCTGAAAATCCTAAATCTGAAATCACTCCACTTTCTCATATTTTTTATATTTTCAATGAAATATACGAAAAAAAAACAAAACTTGATTCTTTCACACAAACCAACCTTCAGCTCCAAGTGACAAATCATCTTCAAAACTTCCTCCATTTCTCACAAGCACACCTGAAAGAAAGATTGGAAAACTTACAATTTATTTTGGCGTTTTATTCTTTCCCACTCCCATACACAAAATCATTGTTTTGGTTAAATTAATTACGTAAAATGTTTCCTAAGATACAGTGAGATACTTAAGACACATAATGTACTCAGAAATTAAATTACTGCCTCAGAAAACCTGCCAGAGGGTCATCTATGGGTTGGCTCTGACTCAGTGGTACACAACAGCAACAACAACAATGTACTCAAAAATTACTCTGATACAATTTTAAGAAACCATGATTCCCAGCCAGGTAAAGTTCTCAGAAATTGATAGGTAAGCTATTTCATACTTATTCTTTTTAAGATGTTCAATTAGATAACACAACTTGCCCAAGAATTTCATGGATACCACACTCTGGAGCAGTCATTCCTCCTACCCCTCTCACATCAAGTCAGGAGAGCTCAACCTACATGTTCCCGGCACTGCAAATGTTTTTTTTATACGCCTTGCCACTACCTGCACATTCTTGTTGTACTTTGAACTTTAGAAATTCTGTCTTCCCCAGGTGGTAAAATGTCAGGTGTGGCAATCTGAGTTAACGTAAGCAAAGAAATGTTTCACTAAAGGTGACCTAGTTAACTTGTTACATATTTTTCTTAAACATACTTCCCTTATTTCTATATTTAATCATTATGTCTCAACTGTATTTAAATTCCACATTACAGAAAGGTTTGCAATTTTGAGTAAATTCCTAACTGTTTTATGGTCAAGACAAGGTCTCCCCCTTCTGGCTTCTGGTACTAAATGTGCATTTTTTAAATAAACATAAACATCACTTTTAAAATTCATATATATACTTTCATCCAAAGAAGAAATGAAAAAGGTCCTTATAAAGAATAGGTTTAGAAAAGCAATATTCTATTACCTTTGAGTGTACTACCACTTTGTTCATCCAGTGAGGCTCCCAAAGGTGTCCTGAAACCACATGGAAATAAGAGACAAGCCTTAGTCTTGAGAAGACATCTGGAGAGCTACACAATCTTACCTAAAGTGTTCTAGCTAAGCAAGCTTCTAATCACCATTTAACTCTGCTCCCAAAACACAAAAGGAATGCAAGTGGATTACATAAGTAACATCTCACAAACTAAGCAAGTATCTATCCTTAAGTCAGTTTGCCAGGAATGATTTAATGACATGTCTGATCTGCCAGCAATTAAAAGAACAGCAATTACAAAGTATATGAATTGGTATTTTCTTCACAAAAGAAAGAGAGAAAAAGACAATGATAACAGGTATTAAGAAAATTAAGTCTCCCCTTCAACCCCTTCCCAAAACCTGGAAACAGAATTAGAAGAAAATATTCAATAGTAGACAATTTAACCTTAAAAAAGTAAAAAATCAGAGGCTAGCAAGAAATAACGGTTCATATATCCTCAAAGTGCATCTGAATAAATTATCTATTGCTGATATTTATATATTGAAATAGAAAAGTTAAAAGATTCACTTTCTGAGTTGAAACTGAAAAATAATTTGTCTTCACTTATTTCTAAAATTACTACAAAATCAACCTGGAGAATCAATATCAAGAACAAGTAGCCATTGTTTAAATTGCTTGCACATTTTTACAGTTCAAAAACACAACGTTTGGAAATGTCTCCTTTACATAGAAAATACTTTCTTTTTCAAAACTGAATTATAGTGAGGGGAAAAATTTCTTTCTATTTGTGATATGAATTTTTCTTCAGTAATAATTTTTACCCGTTACAAATTCATACTAATCAGAAAATTAAATAATTATTAATTAAACATCAAAGAAATATTTTAAAAATACCAATTAAATGTTAAATATTTGTGCAATCAGCATATAGAAGCAATAACAGTTCCCTGAAAATTATTATTAAAAATATAAAAAAGTACATTTGTCATAAAGACATTACTAAATCTCTGAGCTAAGTTTTTGTATATATTTTATATAACTCTAATTTATGCTTTTAAAAAGTAGTTTATCTTCTCTCATGGCTGCTTTCCTAATTAGGCCAAAACATCGCCAACTCCTTAAAGAGAGGTTTGCACTAATCTATACACTTACAGAAAATGGCAAAAAAATAAAATATAATTTAAAATCTTCAAAAACAAGGCTCTCACTCATATTTGACTCACTGCAAATGCTTGCAAAAATTCTACTAGGGCTGAGATGCTAATTTAAGTCATTTGTGTCCACTTAGGAAAAAAAAAAATAAATGACTCTTTCAGGGGAAAAACATGCTATCTTTATTCTGGATATGGAAAACAAAGAACGTCTAAGAATTTATCTTTATCAGGGGAAGCAATATCTTCTCTCGTCATTTTGTCTGTAACTGCTAAACACAGAGATGCACAACTCTTGGAGAAAATGAAAATTGCTACTTTAAGAAAAAAAAAAGAGTGCAGTTGCACATATCCTACGAGTCATACCTATAATAATATGGCCAACTCTAAAAGACTAATTGTTCTAGCTTTCCCAGGTACAAATGAATGCCACCTTTGTGTAGCATAAGTGCAATTATAGGGAACAAGGAGGAAACTTTAGAGGAAGCAGCAATAGTCTTCAAAATCTGCCTACACAAATCAAGATTAACAGAAATCTACAAGAATGATTGAGTAAAGGCCACCAATTACCTGTTGTATTTTTCTTAACAGATGTACTTTAAAAATTGACTTATTTCTTGTCTATTTGATATTGTCTCACACTACCTTAATTCCTATACATAAGTTAACAATAATTCTTCTCTTGCTCTTAATATTTTTAATTCTTCTAAATAAATACTTGAATTTAAACAATGAAATATGACAAACTTATTTAGAATTGTAACATTATGTTAAAATATCAGGAGTAACTCAGTACTGTACTGAGTCCTGGATTTAAATCAAGTCAAAGACTGGAAGTTTTGCAAGCCCTGTAACAAAATATCTTTTTTTTTTAAAAAAAAAAAAATCTTTTTCAGACACATTGCTAAGAAGACACCTAAAAGATACTGTTTTTCACAGAATCTCACCTATATATTCTTATTTAAAGTATCAAGCTTTTAAATTTTCATTCATTTTTATATTTAACAAATAATACTGGAACACATATGACTCCCAATATTAAACCATACAAGAACACTTAATGATTTCTTGATCCATGTTCTCAGTGGAACGAGGCCATATTTTCCTATTTAGAAACAGAGGGCTGAATTAGCACTTGATTTTTAATCTGAATTTCAAGGATTTCAAGTAATGTATTTGTCTTGCTGTTTCTTCAGAAAGAACAAAAAGAACAAAGTTCACTGCTGGAAAGTGAATCCCAACAGAAAAGGGGGGAACTGCCCGTACAGTTGTCCAGGCTGTGTATCTCTATGTAGGCACACTGCCACATCACTGTTCCTCAGAGCAGCTGGTGGGCTTGAACCAACAGCCTTTGAACTGATAGTCAAGTGCTATAACTACAGCACCACCAGACAAGTCTCTTTATTTCTTTTCATCTCAGAATTGTCTATGACAGCCCAATAAAAGTTAAGGAGCTCTGCTGTTATTTTCAGTAATGCTTCTGTAAGTTCATCAAAACAGGTTACCAATATAAAGCTCACTGCAGATGAGTCAATTCAAACTCAGAGTCACCCTCTAGGAGGGTTATAATCTTCATGGGATCAAACCTTTCATCTTCCTGTCAGAGCCTAGTGTGTTCAAAACCCCTAACCTTTCCTCAGCAATCCAATGCCTAACTCACGGTGCCACCAGGGCACCAGTAGCAGCCAATGTTGAATTATGTCATTAGGGGAGAAAAAGTCTTCTTTAACTCCGGCATATATACAAAACATCAAGATGAAAACATATGAAAAAGCAAAAATCTGCTCAGAAGCAAACACCATCAAAAGTTACAATATTGAGGGGATTTAATAACTAAAAAATACACTGGAGAAAAATTATTAAAATATAAAACAAGTATATTTTACTGCACTCAGATTTACTTGCGATATGATTCATCTCCTCTGTATTTTATCAAACGTTTTTGTACCAGTTGCCAAAGCACGTAACTAAACAGATTTATACAGACTGAATGCCTTCAAAGCGCTATTCCCCTTCTGTGAATTCCAGAGCCATCTGACAAATCCAAGGCCAACATGCAAACCACAAGAACAAAGTCTGCTAGTTTTAATAGCTCCCCAAACAGAATTAAGGCACAGAAATAAAATTAAAGCCCAGTTAGTGTAGTTATGTAAATTAAAGTCGTCTACAACTCCTATGAAAGTCAGGCGACTAGATGCCAGATGTAGATGCCAAGAGTAAAATAAAACATACTGTGAAATGCCTTCAAATAAATATTGGGCTCCCATCGTATATAACAAGGCATAGTTATCCATCTGTTACAGGTTTCTGATTTCTAGGGTTAAAGGTACGCATGAGCAGCTGAAGTCCTAGTCTAGTCACCAAACCATCGGCAGTCTCAGTACTTCCATTTCTAATTGCTTAAAGGAGGAAGCTATCCGCGGGCTCACTTTCCGGTTAAGAGCTTAGAAACAGCCACGAGACCCACAAGGACGGGGCCCGGGTCACCCAGCCCTGCGTCCCAGCTGCGCGTCTCCCGGGGCGAGGACTCACCGGCAGTCCTTGAGCCATATCGCGATCTTCTCGTTGGGCACGTTTCCTGCTGGGCAGAGCGGGAGACAGCGCGTTACGGACCCCTAAGGGCCTCTGGCGGCAGGATCAACCTGGACCCTCCTAAGAGGGCAGATATACAGGGCACAAAGCGCAGCCGAAGCAACACATCTTAGTCCCCATCCAAAGGGAAATCAGGTGACACCTGGGTTGTCTGGGCGCTCGAGACGCCTTGGCAAAGGCGCGCGCCTGAAGGTCGCAAGTGTCCCCTTCTCGCCCGGCTATCAATCACGGGAGGCCCTTCCAGAGCCCAGAGAAGTCGCCCCCCGGTGCGCCAGGGCTCCCCCGCCCGCCAGCCCGCACCTCCCTGGCCCCGTCGCCGCTGCAGCCCCTCAGGGCGCACCGACCTCTCCCCGCGGCGGCCGGCAGCTTCGCGCCGGGGAGGTCCTCCTCGTCGTCCTCGTCCTCGTCCTGCGTCGTCGCTTCTGTGGACAGATCCTCCGTCTCTGACGCCTGCCAGGAGCCGCGGCACTTGGCCCAGGCCTTCCTCCTTCGACTCGCCACTTGCCACTCCAGTTCCTCCTCCGCCTCCGCCGACGACGCCAGGGGCCGGTCCATGACCGCGCCGGGGGCTCCGCGACCCCAGCCGAAGCCTGTGCGAGACACGGCGGCGGCAGCGGGGACCCCCCGCCCCTGCTGTCAGCGCCCGGCCGGGCTGGGGGCCCGGGGAGCGGGAGCGGGAGGAGGAGGAGGAGGAGGGGACAGGGAGGGAGGGAAGGAAGGGGAGGGAGGGGGAGGAGACCCAGCGCT